CCTTTTCCTGGATATGAGGTACTACGACGGAACTTGATTGGCGAAATGACCATTGCAGAGTGCTGATGATTAAATGTTGGACTTGGTTTCCGATTACCTAGACTTCCCATGTTTCCCATTGTTTGAAGTGGGTTCAGGTTTGGCACAGATCTGCCTCTGTTCCATGGAGACAAACCTTGCATATTGGCTTGATTCTGTGGACCTGGTGACCATGTATTCTGCTGAGTACTAGACCATGATGTGTACCCCTTATTAGGCATGAACATGTTCTGGGGATTCTGCTGCTGAATGTGGCGAGACAGGTTGTGTGGAAAATTGTGAGTAGCTGTAATTGCTCGTCGTTGAGGTGGTTGCCCTTGGGATTGGGGTAATCCAGCAATTTGGGGGCCTAAACTAGTATTATATAGAGGATTTGGATTAGTTGGAGGAAAATTTTGAAAAGCTAGAGTTCCATTTACAGCAGGTACATTTAAACTGTGCAAAAGACCTTCTTCCATGGGTCCTGACGACCACAGGCTAGCTGTGGAAGTATTACTAGAATTAATCACATTAAGACTAGGCTCTGATACATTAAATCCAGTCCCTAATTGGAGGGGAGTTGTAACTGCTGGACCAATCTGCCCCTGTTCATTCGGCTTATCAGTTTGTACTCCACTTCCAATGTTTCCTGACGAACTGTCATCTTCTTTGGCTTTCACTGTTTGCTCCCCATTCACGTCGGAATTCGGAGACAGCTGTTGTGATTTTACAGCTGATTTCTCAATCAGAAGTTCATCTTGCATTGCTGTATGTTGATGTGACGATAGGTTATCCGGAACAGATGTAGGAGTGTTAAAAAACAAAGACGAGCTAGTAGTTGAACTTGCTGGAAATTCCACTGAAGAAACGGATCCAACGCTAGAATTGACACTAAACTTGAAATCCCCCATTAGAGCTTGTTTCTGCGCGTAGTAGTTTTGATAATCGGGGGGAGGGGGAACGATCCTGTACTCTCACACACACACTGCTTGCATCTGCTACACCAACCCGCCTTCGACGATCGCTGTTGTCGAAACTTTTGTTTCTCTAGTGGTGAATTTCAATTTCTACCCTTAGAGAGCAGCACCAACATAAATGTTTACAACAGTTAAGAACGTTTTATATACCTACTCTCTGCCATCTATGGAGCAAATATGCTAACTATTATGGTCGATAGCGGTAGCATAGTCGTTACAAGAAGCTGGACTGATGTCTGCCATTTACTCGTCTTCGGGTGAAGCCGAGGGTGGGCTTAAATTTTAATAAAAAATGGGTTTGACAATTACAGCCATTTCAGAATGAACGTAACGTACAAGATGTTACACGGTACTAAAACACGGCTGTAACTCTAACACACTGCGATGCTTTGTGTCATTAGACGGACTCATAATAAAATATATATAAAGGCAACTCTCGGTTTACGAACGAGTTCTATTCCAAGACGTTGTTCGTTATGTGTATCTTACATTCCTGAGCTTTTATGCTACGTATCGTATGTTAGCTGCCATTTTACAGCATTAAAACCATGTACTAAACATCGAATGGTCTATAAAGTATGTTTTATTATAATGTATGTATGCATTATGGTTTATCGTATACGATACGTAACGTACGCCACGCGACGTGGCATGTAAACCAACGTTTTTTTTACTGGCAATATTAGTTTTATTAACCAAGAACAGTTCAGTATAATTATCATATAATAATTTTCTGATAATTATTGTAATCGAACAGTGCACAACATGACTGGCAATGATATAAACACATGTCCTACAAATAACTGATTTAGACTTAGAAACATCCTCCCAGACTTTCAGTATTACATAATAAACAATAACAAATTATTCAGTGAATTTAGACGAAGTGATAAATCAAGTATTTCTGTTTATAAACTTTCAACACTGCCTTGAGTTACCTAGAATCCAAAAGACCCAAGACTCATGTTCTACCATTACATTAAAGGCAGAAATTCAGGTCATTCCCAGGTATGACTATTGATAATGTACAAGTGTAAAATTCACTTATCTGTAGGATACTGATCTTGTCTATCAAGTCCTGGTATTTACCAATAAGAACTGACATACACTTCATAACAAATACAGAATGGATAACTCAGAATGTATAAAAAGGGTCCTTCAAGTACTCTCCTCTATTACTGTCCTCCTCCTCCTCAGAGTTGTCCTCTGTATCTGAGTGCACTGTGTGCCATGTAAGGCCTTCCCCTATTGGCTTGTGTGGCGATGGCAATAAAACATGCCTCCATGTTCTTCCTCTCACCATTCCAAGAAATAATCGCCAGTTTTTTCTCCATCCAAAATCAAAAGGGTTTGTGTAGACCTGAAACCATTTATAAATGTAGCTTACCTACTAAACTACAACTCAGAGACAAGATGTTTAGATGACTCCACTAGCAGTTTGGTTGTCAATTTTGTCAAAAAAATCAATATGAAAGCAAATAAAAATATTATACTGCAACAGTATGTGAATATGTAAAAGAGGAGGCGGAGACAGAAAGCAGAGGTGAGATCAATGGTGATAAACTACAGGTGGTTATTCTGCATGGGTACAAAACTTGGTCTCCTGGAAGAACACAGACTGAAGATGTTTGCAAACAGGAAGTTGAAGAAAATATGTAGACCTAAGAAAGAGAAAGGAACAAGAAAAGGACAAAAAACTGCTCAATGAGTATGAATACAGTGTTTTACAATACCTTATTTGTTTCTGCCAATCGTTTTGTTTCAGCTTTATTAATGTTTGCTTCGATGCTTGTTTCTCCTCTACTGATTAATCTTGCATGCCACAGTGTTAGGGCACCTAATGCAATTAACACTCCTAAAAGAAGAAAAATCTCACTATAAGAATATTATACAATGAAGTTAGGATCACAATACAAATTAGACTACAGAGATTACTTACTCTTTTTCGATCAGCATTTCAGCATGCCTCATAACTGCTTATTGGGCCAAGATTTGAATCCAGAAGTTTCAAAATATTAAAGAAAATGCTAAATTCTGCCCTGTCATTGATAACATCGTGTTGTATATTTTTATGGAATTGCATATTTCAGTTAGGTTCCGTACTAACACACTGTGATGCTTTGTGTGTCATTAGACGGACCCAGAACAAAATATATATAATGGCAAATATTTATCTAATCACATTCTCTGTTAAATAAAGAACTGAATCTAGCAAATACTTACTGAAGTACCATATATAAAATTAAATGCTGTATTTCTAATTTTACACGTAGACCAAACGAATGATTACAGCCTAACATTTTAATAATGAGTGTTTCTCATAAATTTCATCCTATTATGCACACACATAGAACTCATGCAACATATATTTACTTCCTTATGATATATGCCTTAAAACATACCATAAGTATGAAATAATATACTTAAACCTGCACCTGTCACTGTGATAGCAGATTTTATTTATCCCTTCGCAAGATTTACGTCAGATCAGACATCAAATAAAGTATATCACACATAAATATTTTAAAACAGAACTACTATTCTCAATATGAAAAATGTGTATATGTTATTTATATAATTGAAAACAGACACTAATTCTCTTAAACAGTAGTACCGGGTCTACAATTAATGACTTTCGGGGCGTGCTTGCATTGCGTGGTCGGCCGGCGATCTGTTGACGTGGGTGGGACTTGTACGCGTGAGTCACGGGCGAGTCAGTTTCAGTGCTGCTAGTAACAGCGAACTACGAATATTTCTCGTCACTAATACATGTTATTACATTAATTGTTCTTACCTTAAATCACAAAAGATGTTCAAAGTGACTTCCTTGTGCTTGCAGGTAACTTTACATCTCGTTAACATGTTTTGAAATACTCGACGAAGCTCTTCTTGGGAAATTGTCGAATATTTTCTTTAAGTGCTTCTGCAGTGTGTGGATAAATTGTGAACGTTGTGTAAATTTAATAGTTAGACCCTTTTTCTAAGAAATGGCCGATGAAGAAAAGACTTACGGTTTCTTCATGCAAGGCAATGCTACAGTTCACACAGCTGATCGTTCGATGTTAGCATTAAGAGAAGTGTTTGGTGAACAAGTTATCAATCAGTGGCCTCCGCGTTCCCCAGACTTGAACCCGTGCGATTTTTACCTGTGGGGCATGCTGAAGAACAAAGTTTATGTAAACAATCTGCACACTGCAGAAGGACTCAGAGAAAATATTCGTCAATTTCCCAAGAAGAGCTTCGTCGAGTATTTCGAAACATGTTAACGAGATGTGAAGTTGCCTGCAAGCACAAGTAAGTCACTTTGAACATCTTTTGTGATTGCAGATGTAGTGAACGTTGCAGAGTCTGCCGCACATGTATCAGTGATGAGAAACACTCGCAGCTCGCTGTCACTAGCGGCGCTGAAACTGATTTGCCCGTGACTCACGCGTACAAGTCCCGCCCACGTCAACAGATTGCCGGCAGACCACGCAATGCAAGCACGCCCCGAAAGTCATAAATTGTAGACCCGGTATATACAGGGGTGTCAAATGCTATCATAAATCCCAATTTGATTGTCACGCTGTATTATAAAAATGGGTTTTGAAGACAGGCAGCAGTAAACTTTGGGTACTGTTACAAAAGATTTAGTTGTCAGAATTATGCATATATTCACAAAATGGACAAATAAAGGGGTTGAAAGAGAAGTATAATTTCTGTACATGACTGTACAACAATAATTCCTCCACACACTTGACTCATAATTTTAGTGTATACCATGATCCTAGGTGGTACAAATTGGACATGGGAATAAACTGTCTTACCCATTTCACATTAGGCAGTCTTATCAAAGGTACTCTTTCTTTAAATGTACAAACTTGTTCCATCCCATGAAATTACTGTTCAAAAAATATATATAATTATGGAACAAGAGGCTATAACAAAATAAAATGAACTGTTCTCTTCCATCAGTTTACAAGTCTGTGTATGTGTTATTCAAGTCAGTTTCCAAAGTGTGTGCAAAATTCTCACCTGTATTTATGAAAGCCATATATATAAGACAACTCTGTCGCAATGAGCGTCCCTTGTGCGGCTCTGTTGTTTCAAGTAATGACATGTTACTGCTGAGATTAGCCATCAATTCTGTCTGGGAGAAACACCAGTTAGTATGACTGATAGATATCACCCTAAGTTGACAGCAGATAATAAAATATTAAGTAGCATTTATAATAAATGATGCCATTTAAAAATGTAAAGACTGAAATACATAAAACTGTTGTTTTGTATAGGTGTGAAACACAATATCTCAAATTGAGAGAACAACACAGATTTAAGAGTGTTTGATAACACGGTACTTAGAAGAATATTTGGACTTACTGCAAAATGAGCAGCTCCATACTATGTACTCTTCAACAAATATTATTCCAAATGATCAAATAAAGGATGATGGGGTGGGTGGGTCATGTGGAAAACACAGCAGAGATAAGAAATATTTACAAAATTTTGGTTGGAAAGCCTGAAGGGAAAGTCTAGATCCATTTGCATAGATATTTCTCACAATGGAGGGGGGAAATGTTTTATGCTGACATAAATTCAATTACACGCAGTAATAAAATATGTCATCATCATCAATTACTACAAGGATTGGGCCTACTGACCCCTTCCGAGACATTTGCTCAAGGCAACTTGTCATTCGTCCTGTGTAGTGCATTTGAGTAGTGAGTGACAAGCCCACTACCTCTGCACAATTTCTACTCAATCCTGATTTTTCTGCTAGAGCCATCTAGTAGAGAATCAAGAGACGTGGGTAAGAAACATGGCTGCTGAATTTTGCTGACAAGCATCTCTTTCATGCTTGCAGGGTTCTTTTACATGCCATAAATCTATAAAATAGTAAAATATGTAATATGTGATATTCCCAGCAGACCATGACCATATGGAAATATGATAATACATACAAATATAATAATTTATCATTGTGGGTGCAGGAAAATTAGAAAAAGACATTGTGGACATTTGCATCCATTTCCCCTTGTTCTCAATGCAACAGACATTTACAAGTTTGGGTTCTTATAGGAAACGAATCATACATACTCATTAAAATCATGTAAAGGTCTCACCAGCATTTAGCTGCATGATCTGACATCAATATTTTAATTGTTTTGACTTACCACAGGAATAAGAATAGAATTATTAAAACGAACTGGATGGCCTTCAATAAATGATTCATCATCTTCATCAATCTCCTCCATGCCAATCCACACTTCATCGTAAGCAAGTTGGAAGCCGAAGATGATCAGGAACAGCACACCCAAACACATGTATGCCATATACATAAAGAAGTAACGATGATTAAAGTGGCCAATGCAATTATTTAGCCAAGCTGAATAAAATATGGTAAGGAATATCCTGGAAAAATATGAAGGAAAAGCACTTATTATTTATAGTTTTCATATATTCAGAATGGTCTAACACAAACAGATACTATTGTCTTTTAACTTCACTTCAGAATATGCCATTAGGAAGGGCCAATACAACCAACAGGAACTGGATTCGGATAAAATATATCAACAACTAGTCTATGCATATGACTATTGGGAAGAAACATGAATAACATAAAGAAGAATGAAGAAATTCCATTATATGCTAGTGAGGAGGTTGGTTTAGAAATAAACACAGAGAAGCCTAAGTATAGGTACATATTCATGTGTTGTTACCAGAATGCAGAACAAAATCATACAAAAAAGATAGGTAGTAAGTCCTCTACAAATGCAGTAAAGTTAAAATATTTGGGCATGGCAGCGGCAAATAAAATTGCCAGACCCTGTTAAAAAAATCAAGTATTACTGCTTTCATTTTATTTATTGCTTATAAAGGAAAAAAAGCAATACATATAATACCAGACTAGAATTATGTAGACAACCTGGTATATCCCTATGCAAGTTTGAAAATGTCTGGTGTGGTCCTTATCAGTGCAAGCATAATAGCATATGTGTGAACACAATATGCAATATGAACCAAACATTGCAGTTAAATGGGAAGTCTAATGTTTAAATCTTAGAAATCAGCTTTTCTAAATGAGGTTTTCAGTTTTCCTTAATCCCTTCAAGCAAATGTTAAGACAGTGCCTTGAATAAAGCCTAATTGCTTCCTTCCACATACTTTCCAGCTCATTATTTACTAATCACTTATTATCCAATACTATATAACTTAAGAAAATTAGGCATTAACCAAGAATAAACAAATAAGGATACGGCAGTGGTGGTCCATCTTGAGAATGCATTTGTTGCAGACAGAACAATGGTGTGTTCTTGGGGGCTTTGGTGCAATGCACTTTCTACATATGCTGGCTGCTTCAAGAATGAGTGCACCCTGAAACAAATAACCATACTGGTGAAAAATTTATATAACATTTTCTTCTTGTTTGTTTTTGATTCATTGGTATGTATGTTCTTACCCCACAAAATGCACAATATATTACACACACACAAATTAGTGAACTGCCCAAACAAATGGAACAGCTAGAAAATTGTCATGCGCATACCACAAGATTCTGTGTGGACATGAATAAAATAACAGAAAAAAAGGATGTTATTATTTCTAAGTGTATGTACTATATTATGTTTTTCTGCTGTTAATTTTTCAGCCTCAACAGCTTTAAAGAAACCTATGACACTAGTAAGATGTTACTACATAAGCTGGAACCAGCTTACAAATTAAATGTGATACAACAAGCAGTTGTGAAGTTTGTACCCTTTTTGAACATTCAATTTAAATTAATGCTTCTTGGTTCCAGTACAGCAATTATTTCATGGGTAAAGACAAAGCTATCCCTGTGCTTAATTAAGTATCATGCCATAAAGATGTATGTAGGAATGGAGATACTGATCCATACATTCTTAATGTTAGTTATGTTGGAGGGGAGTGGCAACTCCATCGTCCAGAGATAGGAGGCTTGGTAAACCTCAGAGAAAGTGCAGATGTGGTGGAGAAGAGAAACCTCATGCCCTTGTTAGGAATCAAGTCCTAGATGTCCAGTTAATACAGTCAAAGAGCTAAAATTGAATACATATTATGGGACCTGAATATGAATAAAGTACTCTCACTAAAATATAATAAATGCATTCACCAACAGCGATCACTTCTTAAATCTTCTTCATTGAGAAACTGATCTGAACCCAACTGTGTTTTGTATGAATATGGAATCTATAAGAATGACACTGACTAAACATCATTACAACATATTATGTTCTGTACATACTGTATAAATGTTTCCCTGCAAAACATCTTGCACATGTATAATTTAATATGGATAATAAACATTAATAGTAATTGTATTCATGGAATTTTTATTGTTGTTGAAAAAGGGGAAGACTACCTGTCTCTATGGAACTGTGTCCACAAATGGGCCCACTGTCAACCAGTGGTGGAATGAAACTGAAGGAAAAACCAAAGAACTTGGAGAAAAACTTGTCCTAGTGCCACTTTTTCCACTAGATGTGAACCTGGGCCTCTGCGGTGAGAAGCTGTCAACTAGCCATCTGAGTTATAGCACAGATCTATGTTCATGGAATACTTTGTGCACCAGTAAGACCACTAAAATGCTTTGAAGTTAGGTTGACTCTGATCATACAAATTTCATATTGAAAAAGATTTGTTTAATTTATACATGTCACTGCCAGATAAAATCAGATGTATAACATGTCCAGGAGCACTGATACTAAGAAATCTGTACTAAAGAACATCACAAAAAGAGGAATAAAAAAGAAATTAGCTAACAGCAGTTCTTTTCTATTGTATAATATATTACCTCTGGTGGGCTCCCAGGATGAGTGTTAGCAGCCATGTAGTAATGGAAACAGATGTTCACTAGAAGCCAGTGACCAATGATCATCAATATTACCGTCATCCATGGACTTTTGTGCCACCAGTAGGGCAGTCCAATCCAATATGCAATAACTATAACTGAAGCTGTCAATCCACACACAGAGGCAACAAAGAACTAAAAAAAGATACAAGACACCACTAGTACTTAAAGGAATTATTTTTCAAAAGCTGACAGTCACTCAGCTGGCCAATACATTCCTTGAATGTGTTCACAAGAATCTACCACTGAACTGTTCTCTAAGCCAGTTGAGTCCAGTCCAAATCTACTGAATCCTATTTTGAGCCAATTAAATCCAGTTTGCATATTTATACAATCACATAAATTTAATCAAAATTATTTAATCTGTTGATTGGGATGTTTTATCATGTCTTGTTTTGTCTGGTAGATGCTGATGGTGCAACATCAAAGAAGACAGCCATCTTAATACTCATTGCTATGATAACCTCAAATCTCACCTTTTTGTGCTTTTATTTGTTTGTGAGTCCAAGACCTACATTATTCAAAGCAAACGAAGATGGATTACAGGTAATATGATAACAATAATATGTCCCTTCTTCTTGCAAGAAGTACCCATGAATACAATAGAAAGTATGATATTCAAATATAAGAGTAATAAGAAAACATAAAATTAGTCAATTACACTTACAGGGCCAAGACATTTGGTGAAGTTGTCTACAAACCAAAACATTGGTTCCATACACACATCTGCCACATAACCTTGGTCCAAAAAATGATTGTAGAAAAGAGAATTCATTGACAGTTTTACTTTTCTCCACTGCCATCTTACAGTTTTCCTGAAATAGTGAAGAACATCAGACTTCCGGGTACAACCTGTAATGTGGCCATAATGCTCGGGAGCCATAATTGATTGATATCCTGTCGCTCTTAGTATTCACAAGTGGGTGGGCAACTGCATCACACAGCAGTGGTCATCAATAAAAACCCACTGTGTAAATTCAATATATGTGAAAACTAACTAACTAGATGGCTTACAGAACCGAAGGCTCATCACCGAATTAACCAAAGCCCTCCACCAGACTCTGTCCTGTGCCAACAAAATCCAGTCTCCTTCAACTCCTACCTCTGACAGATCCCGCCTAAGATTATCCTCCCATCTACATCTAGGTCTCCCGAGTTGTTTCTTCCCCTCAGGCTTCCCGAACAATACCTGCATAATAATTATTATGTTGCATAACAATGCTGACTGTCTATGTTCCACTTACAAAGCAACACTCAACTGTTTGTTTTTCTTTCTTTTTTGTTGATGTAATATGAGTTATACATTTGGTTGTAATTCTATTTCTTTTTGTTAACAGTCTGCAAAAAAACTGTGACAGACACAAGCCTTCTCATTTCTCAAACTGTGGCAACATGTAGTAAAATCAGCAATGTGCTCGGCTGGAAACATATTTACTGACTGTTGCAAGTAGCCACCTCCTTCTTTGTGGTAATATACTTTTATTTATATTGTTACAAAAAAGTTTGCAGTCTTACATTAGTTTCTACAAAGTTAAATATGATTGTTAGTCAGCATTTAAATAGACTTGACTGAGGACTAGTATCAGCTTCCTGTCTTCTGTACAGGTACCTTCAACTAAGCTAAACTGTATATGGCCGTATTTCAACTTTGGAGGACTCTGGGTCATTTCATAGTTACGATAATCTGTCTACATGGCTTTGGAGAGTGCATCACACTATAAGCAGGCAACCTTTTGAAACATAAGTCCTGTATGTACAACAGGATATCATGCATAGCCATTCACAGTTTCCCTTCTTTCAATGTTTAACAATTTAATGGCAATATTTATTAATATATGACAGTGATGCACATTTCAGGATGCTTTAGACAAACATTTTTCGCATCAACGAGGGTGAATTCCTCACAAGTTACAGAGCCAAAGAAAACAGACAACCAAAATTAGAACCACTAAAGCAAACAGTTTGTGAATCACAAGTTTGTACGTGGTAACCTGGTTGTCATTAACAAAACAAATTATGTTCACACAGTATTCAAAACCTTCTATCGTCCATCATGCCCTTGGAGATGTCCTGTGGCATTTCCTGAGTAAAGAGTGTGGGTAATTAGCTTACCGAACAGTAATTGGGATAGTTGTCAGTTTCCATCTGATCTGAACCATTTTTCTTCAGAAGCATGTACATAAGGCTAGGACATTGTAATTATTTTAAAGTTACAATTTCTGGTACAGTAGTTCCTCATACAGAAAGAACACCATTACCCCACCAAACGTATAACTTCAGTTACCACATAACCTCAACCACAGTCAATGTTTAATCCTAACCTGAAAGGACACCAGAAGTAATATTAGAGGATACCAACCACACCTCTTTAAGTATCATAACAACAAAAAATGTACACATACAAAATATTCGCAAAACTAAAAACTCGTTCATATAATATCAATAAATATTAAAACAATAACATTTTCAACAGGATATTCATTTCTTTCAAAAGCGACAGTGAATTCCAAATTACTACAATAATAATCCGATATTGTAACTACTAACGAAAGGGGAAAACATGCACTAGTGCCATCTATCAGCAGGATAGCAGAGTTACTTCTGATTCCTGATTTTACCCTCTGAAAACGCCAAAAATTAGATTTGCAATGAACGAATAACTTTGTCAAATCTAATCGTACACGAGTGCGTATAGAAACTAGGCATTATCCGACTCTAAACATCGTTTCTGTGTAGACCAGAGACATACCAGTTGATTTATGTGGATCACATATTATAACATATGGAACAAACTTAGGACGGTTGGTAATGCAGAGGCGGACGTATTGTTCTGAAGCACGACTGACGTCTAACGATAACATTTACCATGATGATTTGTTCGTGTTCGGGGCTTAAGTGTTACGCATATAAATCGGTCTTTCTTCAAAACGATACTTTCGCCTCTGCATTACCGACCGTCCCAAGTTTGTTCCAATTGTTACAATCTGCCATCCATATAAATGAACCATTACGTCTCTTGTTTACACAGAAACGATGTTTAGAGTTGGATGATGGTAGTTTCAATATGTACTCGTGTACGGTTAGGTTTGGAAACGTCTGATTATTGTTTTCTTATAGGTGACATTGGTAGGTTAAACCAGCGACGGAGCCCGCGAGGCGTCTTTATTTTCTGTTAATTAATTCCGCGAAAATGTTTAACAGAGAAGAAGTCTTTGCAGTAGACCGCTATTCGCCATTCATTTGTCTACCACTGTACTTCGGAATATTGGGACCGAAGATGTCACTAATATCAGTCACGGAAATACTTTTCAGCACCACCTTTGCTGCTGATGAGTTTAAAATCTATGGAGTGGTATTTCAAGCAGCATTTCAAACGGCAGTGCAATGGAGTGTGCTCGGTCGGACATCTACTTCAGACCTATTGTCGATAGATGCCAGGAGATTTCTCACTGTTTTCCTGACGTTGCCGTTCTGCCTCGTTTGTTTCCTTGGGTCAGAATCATTGTAGGATGCGTTCTGTCAAATATTACGAGGGCTTGCAAGTTAATTTGATGTTATTTGAGCGTGTGTTGAATTTATGTGTGTAACTTTTCCCTTGTGTGGAGGACGTAAAGTAAGAAATACTTTTATTGCACTGAACGCCGGTTTAGTTGGCCAGTAGTTTATGAATGAGGTGTAGAGTGTCTCCATAGAAACAATTACGATTGGTCTCTCAATGCGGATGTTTATTTCGGTACTTGGTTTTGTTTCAGGTAGGCGTGCTTGCAAGCTGATAGACCAGTGTGCATGGTGGACATAACTCATCAGGTGGTTGGGATGAACCAGACACATGGTAGTAGCCTCAGTTTTTGACTTGCTTGACGTGAGTAATAGCTGTCTCTGCTCTATTTATTCCATTTATGTACTAATGGATGTTACTTGGCCCTACATGTGTCTATGCATAATGCATGGACACAAAAATGATTCTAAGTAACTTCTTGGCCACAAAGAGATAACCACCCCAATTAAGTGTATTAAATACACTTAATTGACGGAGGCAGTATGAAATCTGAAACTTTGGTAAACATCTACCATACTACACGGCACAACAACCCAGAAGACAGAAATGTACAAATGAATATCGCAACAAAACAGCTTTACAGGTGGAATATCTGACATATAAATATCTCCAGTATCAGGTATACGTTTTAATATACAGCATCACAGTAAACAATATTCTGTAGTAAAATACATTTCAGTACAAAATAAAATGAATTACAGTCAAACAAGTAAAGTATGAAATCACACGTTCTTATTCTTCAGGCCATACAATATTTTCAATCCATGGCACATAAGAGGATACTCTGGTATATACCCCTGGGGCATTCTTTGCAGCACAGAATTTTCCAAATGAAGTAATACCAATTATATTGTAAACACATCGGTTATTGGGCCTTGTGATTTGAATAGGCCCACCAGAATCCCCCTGAAACAAAGTCATTTATCTTACAGTTCAAATATAATCTCAGTAAGGACTCAAGTACCATTTTCAAAACATCAGGTTATTGAACTATATACATTTACCTCCATTAATCTCTTAAAATGTATATGAAGATTCTCTCTGATTACTGGATTATAATGAACTGTCATGGTGATTAATTATACAGTTACAGAAATTGTTTCGTTTACTAGCTTCTTGAACATGGGTATATTTTGTTGTGAGTAGGATTCTTTCTCATTATTTCCAAGCAGTACTTTTGTCTAGGACAAGTATTTTGAATATCTCATATAAATGTGCAACAGCTTCATAACAGTTGTTACCATAATACCAATAAATACATTGTTATTTTGTGAAATAGTTGTACTTTACTACCAAGAAACCTCCACACACATTTTGTTGTATAGATATTTTACTGTATGCTGGAAGCATTACATAATTTGAACATGTTTGTATGAACTGTAGCAGAATATGTCACTGGGCTATGACTGTACTTCAAAGTTTTACTGTGTACTTTGAGTATCCTACAGTTGATTTTGATGCTATGCAAGTCATGGACCTGTACTTAGCTTGTGATACCTTTGCCCACCATTGATGTATAGATACTGTGACTTTTGGGTGTGCTTCACTTATTTCTTTATGTATTTATTTGTTCCTTGGACTATTTTAGTCACTATGTTATTCAGTGGATCTTGGTGACAGTATGCAGTTAATGGGGAAAATTCAAAAGAAAACAAGAATGCTCTGATAATTTTTTGTCATCTTCTACTACTGTTTATAAAGGCATAATAAAATAGGAGAACAAGGAATTTTTCTAAACTTTGTGTATCCAAAATGTGATTGCATCGTCTGTTCTGATTCTGCTGCAGATCTCTTTAATAAAAATTTGTTTTACCATTTAATGTAAGTAGTATGTCACCTGACCTGGCACGTGTCTTTACCGCCTTCCAGTTCACCAGCACACATCATGGATGGTACAATACCATTTCCCAGTTTTTTGGTAGTCTCATCCATCTTGTACAATTCATTGCACAACTTGTTGTCAATGATGCTAATTCCTACCTTGAGCAGAACATCACTTTTTTTTTCAGCTGTGAACATTGTCAAGATAGATAACACTTTACATCAGTCAGTATTAAAAAATACAGAGGCTTTGATTTCAAATGTTATCACCAGCTTCTATGTGTTAATTTTTACTCTGTTCATAAAGACAGCTTTTGTTATTATTTTAGCATGTAAGTAAGCCAGTGAGTAATGGGAGAGAGTGTACACAAGAATACCATGTCATTAGAGGCTGCTCCATGCCCACTTTTTAATTCCCTTTAATCAGTATTGCTAATGTGATAACCATGCAAGTTTCTCCGTCTTAACTGACACTCCCAAATTTCATCACCACTAATACCAAAGCATGTCATTGGACATGGTCCTAATCCATTTTGACAACTTATTTACCGAAATCTGGGTTAATAGTATCCTCACATCCTGTTTGGTGTTTCAAGTGACCACTTTTCAAAGTGCTCCCCATCCTTGTTTCTCCATATTAGCCACATGTTATGCTTATCACAACCTCCCCAATTTCACTATCCTATCAGTCATGAAGCAAATTATACTCTTACCAAAATCAATTTGTCCCCATCCTGTGGCGACTGTCTTATTAATGTCAAAGGTATCTCTTGTATAGAGACATGCCGGCCGAATGAATTCGTTAAATTCGACAGGACGATCTAACTTGAGGAGGGCAATGTCGTTATACTTGGCAGGTGGCTTGTAATCAGGATGACGAATAATATTCACCACTAAATAGTTTACTGGTTTTGCTCCTTCATTGGATAGTTTCAGATTCAGGTCACCCAGCCGTGCAATTGTAGGTGGATTGCTAGGAGAAGAATAATTACCAGAAGAATTAATTAAATGCCTGAACCTTGAAATATTTCCATATTTAAATTTATAATAGGTCTTGTTGCTTCATGTGTCGTCTAATTACATTTGTGGTAATTATCTTGGTTCATCAGTCTAGCACAAATTCATCTCTACCAAGCCTACTTAAATCTGAATATGGGGTTGTGGGAAAGAAGGCTCATACTTTATTGTAACACTGTGCTATCAGATGTCCAATTTTAATGTAGTTAGTTTAGCTAATTATTCTTTCCCTTTTCTCTATTATCATCCAGACACTAAAAATCTGAGCTCCTTATGTTTCATGTACTGCTTTTCAGTTATGAAACAATTTCAACCCCATTCAAGCAACAGAACACGCATCTGATTCTCTATTCCTTTATTAACATTTTTATATGTGATACTTGAAAGTTTGACCATGTTTTTCAACAGGAATCTTGTAGATGGGACACATGCCTTTGCAAGATAATTTATATAAACTATACAGAGACAAGATACCCTTGCTAGAAGCAACTTGGATAATTCCTATATTTAATTTAAGTGCTGAAGAATTTCAAACAGAAAATCATTCAGTATTTCAGCAAATTTAGGAAGCAAATTATGAAAATAATTTTACATTATGGGAGGTGAGTTAACAATCCCTTAGTCATGCAAGTTTATGTTCAAGATGATAAATTATTCTTTAACATTTTATGTGAACGCATCACATCATACCCCTGGTTGTATGATACTTACTTTCTGGGTGCACAATGTGCAGCTGTAAGTACAAAGTACTTGCTGATGAGAGAGCCACCACACTTCCAGTCAATGTTTCCATTTTCATAATAACCTAATGCAGCCTGTAATCATATTATAAATAAAGATAATTATTCATTACAGTTAAGTACAATGTATGACCTGGCTTTCTCAGGATTCAGGGGTTGAGCTCAATATTAACCTAGCACTGAAGAAATTCTAGATCTAAAGCCCAATACTGCATCTATGGATGTAGTTTTGCTAATATGAAAGATTTAAGAGGTTTGGGGTGCTTATTAATTAATCTGCCTTCTCTGGACTCTGGTAGAGTGTGGCCAGATTTGATGCTAAAAGTTTATTCAGAATAATTTTAAAGGTAAAGTTAAATTAAATGAGGACTGATGAAGTCCAGTCTTGACTTTAAATTATGTTTGAAAATTTGCCATTCACTGAATTATATTTTTAAAAAACATCTCATGTATGTCTCAAAATGTGTTGTTTCTTGCAGTATGTGTGTGCTTGAAACTCAAAAGTCAGACACTGAGAATTGTGTTAACGTCTCATTACCATATGAGGAAACTCTTTGAGCTTTGTTTCTTCACCGCCCACAATTAATTGCACACTGGTGAAGTCACACTTTGGTATCTCAACATGTATAGGCTCAGGGGCAGGCACTAGAGGCAGAGCTGCAATCGTAGACGTCACCGGCCTTGAATATTCATTACATTCTGAAACAGAATGGATACTAAATTTCAGTATGTATGAGAGTTTATGTGTAACTTAATTATTAATTCCATATCTACTAATTTAAAATACACTATTAGCCTTAGAATCATATTTAAATATCAAAAGTATGAAGTCAGTAAATCAGGCATTTAGAAAAGTAATTAGATATCCATAGTTGTACTGAAAGATTAATTTCACAGAACAAAAGTAATTTATGGGCTATATATCCATACTTCAACAAAGGTGTAAAATCTGTTACTACAATTTTAAAAAATACTACTATGATAGTACTATACTGTAACAGTAATATTCCTAATAAGGAGGATACATTTCTAGAAAATTGTACACACACAAAAGTAATTTCAGCAGGGAAAACCATAAAGATCTAAATGAGAAAAGTATTTTTTTCAGGAGAAAATGAGTTGAAAGAAATGTTATTGAAGTTAATGTGTTTAATACTGTAAATAATCACTCTTTCAAGATTAACATTGAGATTTAAACTATAACATGAAAAATTATCTGTATTAGGGTTGTATAATAAGCAATGCAGAATTTAAATCAAGAAGGATAATTAAAGGAGAATTTCACTTAGTTTAAAAGAATCAGTGAGCAAAAATAACAAGTATTACTGCATTATACAGTGCAACCCTTATGATGGTGAAGTCATTTTCCCTCACCTTTTCCACTAGAGATATATACTGAAAATCTTTCAGAATATTTGACCTTGAGTTTTGGTGAATTTAGACTCCTGAATGCAGAGCAGACATGCTAAATGTAAGTCAATGAAGTTGAATCATCAGAGCAAACAAAAATATTTGCCTGTTCCCTTTATACAATAAAGTTTGAATACAGTAAATGATGTCATGTCTCATTTCAAAATGACAACCTGTTCAATGTGGCATACTTTCAAGAAGATCCTTTTATACCTTAGGTATTACCATTTGATATATGATAAACTATGTTATATTATGCTTACAATCACAGTGCTTCATCCCAATTAAACACTAAGTTTAACAGCAGAAAATAATTTGTATTATCATTTTTATTTAATATTGCAGATAAAATTCTGTCAGTAAGTTACACCTTAATGATTCCTAAATGGTTTGTACAGAACAAAGTTGCTTTGTTTAGCTAGGACTATACCTGAATATGATTTTGTGATTTCCAAAATTTCGTTCATTACAGATTTAATCTTTAGTTTATTCAATATTTGTTCTGAGTCCATTACCACACAACACAGTTAACAGGAGAGCTAACATATTTTGGGTTCTTAATTTTCTGTTCTAAATGTATACCTTGAAAACATTGTAAGGCATACAGTCAGTTTAGTTCATTTAATTATGGGTTGAATACTGTTGTTGACAGAGGGGAAGCCTGATACCTTCCTTGGTTTGTTTGATAATTTTAATTTGTAGCTATTAGGGAGCAGTGATCCCAAGAGCTATGCTGGCGGTAGCATAGTTACTGGTAGGTAGGGCCTCCCTAGCCAGATTGGTCGAGGGGGAGAGGTCAGACTGAGACAGGTACCCTGGTCCTCCAGGTTGGGGGTTGGTCACAAGGCTAACAACCTTGCACCGTAAAAAGGAAGATGTTTCGAAACCTCAATCAAAGCCTGGACAGACGGACCTAACAGAGGACCGAATGGAAGAGGAGAATTGAGGAGGCCATAGAAGAAGAAGAAGAAGCTATGTTCACAGAATTCTGACAGACTTCAAATGAACAATAAAGCATAGACCAACTGGAACAAGAAACCAAGTATGAAGATTTCTGTCTTCTGGGTTGTTGCGCTGTGTAGTCTGGTCGATGTTAACCAACGTTTCAGAGGTCATACTGCCTCCGTCTTCAGGGCGATGAATATTCTTCATACTCACTGCTGTGAAAACTTCAAATCTTACAAGAAACCAAGTGATGACTATTGGTTAACTAAGGCCAGAATGGTCTAACAACTGTACTAATTCCTTGAACGTTTGTTGATTCTGAACTGAATTTTTAACAGCCACAGAATGACTAAAAAAATTTCACAAGTTGTAAGTAGTGCATATTTCTAAAAATAAGTCTCACATAAGTAGAAAGAAATGAGCCTCAAAGTATGTTCACAGAAACATTCTCAAATTATTCCTGGAAACTGAAGCAAACTAAAATGCTTGTATTTAACCTGCCTTGTTAACAGCATATTAATGAAATTATTTCAAAATACATAACTAATCGCTGATGTGTTCAGATGAAAGTATGGTGTAATTTGTGGGCCAGAAACAAAGTATACATAAAATAAAAATGCTTATAATCTTTAAGTATGTTTCGAGAAGGAAATAAGATTTTCAAAATTGGAAGAGGCTGATTAAACTATATCTGATGCACATTTAATTTACATTATGATCTGTAAAACTCAAACAATAAATACATCACATGAAACTAAGTATTTACTTTTAGCAATATGTGAAAAAAGAATATTTACATTTGGTATTCAAATGAAACACTAAACCAAAAATCATCATGACATTAACATTTTCTTTTAAGTTGCCATTGGCTCAACACATATTTGTAGAAGTAACTGTCAGGAAGTAATGCTTCTTACATATTGAGAATACTTCATGGTAGCCTTTGTGTTTTTTGGCACTGTTCCAGAATTTTAAGCATAACTTAGTGTGTGATTTTTAAGAGAAGACAGTGGCATTAACATTCATATTGTTGGGTTGGATTAAACATATCAAAGTAATAAACCATTGTAAGATTTGAGGTTTTCACAGCGGTGAGTATGAAGATTTCTGTCTTCTGGGTTGTTGCGCTGTGTAGTATGGTCGATGTTAACCAATGTTTCAGAGGTCATACTGCCTGACGCAACAACCCAGAAGACAGAAATCTTAAACCATTCTTATAAATAAAAGTTATATATTGTAAAGTATAGTTCCCATGAACTTTGTGTACTTGGATTAAACTTACTTATTTCACTCATCTTCTGAGTTGGTCTTCTGATATTAAGTGGGGAAGGCTGTGTAGTAGGCTTCAGTGTTTGTTTAGTTGGCGGTGGTGGTGGTGGCGGGGGCAGGGAAGCCGAAGTGAATGGCCTCTCTGCAATCCACCAGGGACTGTGTAAAGTTCCAGAGTTAGGTCTGCTTGGTTTGTGATTGTTGTTCCCATTATTATTGTTGCTGAATTGTGGCTTTTGTGGTGCAACAGGAGCTTCAACAAATGGCTTCTCTACTATCCACCAAGGTTCATGATCATCCTGCCTGGGATATCTAATAGGATAATTTTCGTATGTCACAGTGTCAAGAAAGTAGCGCTCATTTGTAAATTGTGAAGGTTTAGGCCTCTGTATGACATTCTGAATAGCCTCCCCACAGCAAACAATGGGCATGTCTGCTTTAATACTGCAGACGATGGGTCTATCCCCCTGAAGTGCTTTATGAACAGCTGTTACACATTGGGTCAACTGCTGACAAATACCAACATTGCCATTCTTTAGTAGACACAAATCTCCTTCTGAAACACACAAACAACAGAATTGAGTGCATAAACACAACTGTTCATTTTGTCGCATCCAGTACAAGCAAATGAAACAAAGTAGGACAATAATTATAGCTTAGATCAGTGGTCCCTAACGCGGTGCCAAGGCTTTTTTTTTGGTGCCCGCGTTATTACGGAAAGAGGTTACACTGAATAATGAAGGCCGTTCAACCATGAACATTATAAAATCAAAGCACAGATCTCGACTTAATGACGCCCATCTTGACGATTGTTTGCGAGCAGCAACGTCATCCTACACCAAATTTGAAAAACTGGCCGATGAAATGCAGTGCCAAACATCACACTAACTTCCCACTTGAGTAATAATAATTGTACTTATAAAACTACGTATTTTTGATTTGTGTAATATTTGGTGTCCATATCTGATTTGTCCAGAGAAAAGAAAATTTGGCTTCGTTAATTGGTTGGTGCCCGCCAAGATCTCAAACTCTCAAATGTGCCCGTAGGCACAAAAAGGTTGGGGACCACTGGCTTAGAATAATAGCACAAAATGAAAATTAATTTGTTTTTGTTGACTGTAAAGGGTTCTGAGATAGATTTCTTCCGCGTGGACTACAGTTTTTTCTGATTTCATCCGACGTTTGGTATTTTAAAAAAATAGGCGTGGTTTCGAAAACTTGGTCTGTCCTCGTCCTCGGGACGAGAGGAACCTACCATTTGAAAGAGCTAACTTCAGTCACTGCTAGATGAATTTGCTCTACACCCTCACATCCTGTTTCCTTAAAAACAATCTTAATATTATCTTCCGACATTTACATACGTCTCCCAAGTGATAATGTATTAATACGACGATGTTCTTCTGAGTTGTGTTACTGTGTGACCATGACATCACAACCCTGAAGAATAATACTGTAATTTTTACAATTGTAATTTAAATTTCACATGTCTTATCCTATATTTAAACATATTTAGCAGCATTTTACTCAGATCATCAGATCTGGCACTGAAAGCTTCCCTGTTACCCAGAAAAGGACGCAGGTGAAGAGAGACCCATTAAATGGTTGGGGTGGAATTTTTGTCCTTTTAACTGACCACTTATGGAATGCTATTATTCTTCTCTACCCTTACCCTACTCCACCTTCCTTTGTGAAAGGGTTTACAAGTTGATGGGAATAAAGTGCATCCCATTCTCAGTGACAAAAACTGACATTGAAGCTTTCAGCCTTTTACATTGCCCGGTTTTCGTCCATGGGCACATTAACTCAAGCTTGCTTCCGACTCCGACGTATTCTTAAGTCCCCGTTTGCTCTGTCTTTGTCAACACGGCTGCAACAAGGTGCCCATTAAACCGCGACGTGTTACTGCCTGTCTGCGAAGAATTAAAACATTTCCAGAAATAACTTCATGCAACGGCGGGAACACAGCCCATGCAGATCTCCGTGACCATATGGGGCACGAAAAAGAAAAACCTTGATCTAGTCAATTATTTTCCTGTCATCTTGTTTGATTCATTTACGATTTAACGACGTCGTATCTTAGATAATATAACGTCGACTGATTACATGATTAATGTATAATAAACTGGAAAAGATGGAAATGGTTGCGACCTGCTTCGAGATATTATCCCTGGATTTGCCTGGAATGGCTAATAAAAACTACGAAAACCGTAATATATCCGCTCTCCAGGCCAGGATTTGAACTGGGGATGTTTAACGACCATTACAGAACTTACTCCAAAATACAACTACTTCAGATTGTAAAAGCCTCGTTCGTTTCGTTTGCCATAGATGATGTACATTTCTACTACTTGGGACTATCGGAGATAATATCGTCAACATCTTCAGAACAACCACCTAACTGAAATGATATATATATATATATATATATAATCTCTTCTAAAACGAAGATAATCCGAAAAACACTTAAAAATTCGACATCTAACTCTGGCGTAAGAGAACGAACTGAAAAGAATAATAATTGAATTTAATAACCGATTTGGTAACCCACGTGCTACTGATCTCGGGATACAACAGCAAGAAATGGAAAATGGAAAACAGGTATACTTTCCAATAAGCAGAGAAAGACAAAGGATCCATCCATGACTGAATGTCGCTTTATTGACGACGTATCGTCATGTTGTAGAGACTTCGCCTTTACTTGGTGGAGATTATCCTATTTGAAACTACGAAGAGTCAATTTATTTTAAGCTAAAGTGTTATTTATTTGTGTTTATGTTTAAATTAGCAACACTTAGTAGCCAAGGATAAAGAGTGCCGAACGGTGATTATTGAATAACGAATTTGAAAGGATGTGGAAGGAAGCGGCAGCGACCTGATTTAAGGTACTATACCGGAATGACTGAGGGAAACCGCGCTAAACCTCACTCAGTATATCCCGTCTCCTAACCGAGATTTTAATCTGAGACTTTCAGATTACGAAACAGCAGTGTTAATCACTAGGCTGCGATTTTCCCTAAAATGTTGAAATTCAGTTTGTTGCGAGGTACAATTATATTGAGTGTTCATGTGTAGTGAGTAACACTCCTCGTTTATATCCGGGAGGTCCTGGGTTCGTATATCGTCCTGGAAATTGGTTATCATGACGGAGGTTTTTATGAAATCCAAAAATTTGATCCCGCGAAATCTCTTCATTATACCCTATCAAGAATCAGGCCAACCAGTCCATACCTTTATATCCTATTCTTGTAAGGCCCGTTTTAATCAGGTCTAACGTTTCATCTGTACCTCATCTCCCAGGTGGTATAATTAATTACGTTTAAAAAGGAAGTTCACATTACAAGTTAAGTGTTGAATATTTTAAGCTCGCTGAAATTGAATTCATGACGACGACGACGAAATATACTTGAAAGAGAGGGAGACATATTACATTAACTAAAATAATGGAAATAACCTATACTGGACAAATTTTTGAAATATAAAATCAATTACATGACAGAATGGAAAGATACAGGCTTCCTAGTCTATTAAAAATTTCAAATTGCTTGGATTAAAAAGCGAAGATGACCTTTAAATAGAGTTTTTGGCTGTTCAAAGAAGATCAGGTTAACAAGTGACCTAAGTGCTAGATGATGAATATGCACGTAAATCTACGAGTCCACCTAATGTCCAGGTTCAGAACATAAACCTTTACTTCCCCATCCATCCTCATGTAGTGCCTAGGGACTTTACCTTCGAATATGACTGACTTCCGGGTTGTTGAACCTTGTAGTCTGATGATAGCGGCAGCAAGCACCTTTGAAACTTCGGTAAACGTCTACCAGATTGCAATTGGCAACAACCCGGAAGACAGCCATCTTCATACTCGCCGTCGAGAGAACCTCAAAGCAACTTTACCTTTCTGTACCCCAACATCAATCTAGTCTCGAAACGATATTCTTCATTGAGCGGCATTGTGGATTGTAGTTACGTAACTAGCCTAGTGTTGAAGAATTAGTGCACTGCATTTCGGACAGAAAGACATTCAGACAGTCGTCTCCCTGAAATGCATGTTACCGTCAGCAGAATTTTGCATCCGCTTCTTAGTCAACAGGTTTTTGTTCACGAATATTTTTGAACACGCTTATACTCATAAGGTTAATTAATGCGTGTCTCTCTATTCGTCACAGTGGCTGCATCATCACAATAAGTTTACAAGGAACGACACAAAAGAATAAGTAAATAAAAACAGTATAAACTAACGTTATGCACATAATACTGTAATGCATATTTTTATGATATTATTATATTTTACCCGGGTCTTTCTGGGAAACGCAATCAAGTGTTATTTGAACACAAAAAGCATTGATGTGAGCAAGTTGAGAATTTGGATTGTGTGTTTCTTGATTATGACGCTGAGTAATTTTAACTGGCCTGAGTATGGAAGTGGTAAGTTCTTCCGAAGCGACGGTGACCACCTACAAGACTGCTTTAAGATCCGGAATATAATTTAAGAGATTAATATAAATTGAAACTATGCTAATATTATTTAGTCTTTGCTCGCACTCATAATTCTAGAGTAATATTTATAATACTTTCATAAACAAATCGTGTTCTTACTAAAAATGCTCATATTATATTTATTAAGCAGGAATAGGATGGATAAGAATGCATAATGGCATAATAGGGTGTTCAGATCAATTAGGATCAGATAGGCGAACATGTAGCATGCATTAGATAATAAATGCGTAAAGAATATTTTGTCGGAAAACATGGAGTACAGAAGCCACTTGAGAGACCAAGGTGTAGGAAGGAATTGTATGAAAATGGAAAGGATATCCGTAAAGTGTAGAAGCTGTGGCCGGACTGTAAACATAAGAATACATATCACGTTCAATTTTCTGCAAATTTGAAGTTGTGATCCCAACATGACGAACCATCCAGGTGATATAGAAAGTGGCTTTTCAATCACCACAGCACATCCACTCATTTATGCTAGTTTCCCACCTTGTACGTCTTCTATTCCTGTTTTCCGACTAAATTTCGTATGCATTTCTCAGCTCTCCTTGTGTCAAATGACCTTCCATCACATACTCCTTGACCTGACCGACCGTCTTCATAATATTTGGTGAAGAGTACAAATTATGAACGTCCTTTTCCTGTGCACTCATTACTTCCGAATATTTCCTAGAACTGTATTAAACATATAAATAAATAAGTAAACACCATTAATTCAAATACGAACCCGTTTTCTGCGCAGCCACGATGTCTACCCGAGGGACAAGGAAGCACGTCACTATGATAATGAAGTTTCGGCGCATCGCATTAGGATTCATATTGAATGTTCAACTATGAACTTATTTAACTCGTTGGAGATACCAGACCGTCACACACCGGTTCTCACAGTACGAGTGAACCCATCTGTTGAACAGTAGTAGCACGAACGAAATTATATCCCTCAGCACAACCGAACACTGCCTAACCAGAGAATGACTGAAAGAGACTTGTACCTGAGGGCATCCTACATCACAACAAGGAAAATAATCACGTGATATTCTTGAAGCCTAGTTCACACTTGTAAGTTTGTACGTGGGTGCAAGATTTTGTGTGTTTCAGAATAGGATGCTGAGCAAAATATTTGGACTTAAGAAGGCTGAAATCGTAGGAGGATGGAGAATATTGTATGAAAATCTTATTACAATATGCGGCATGTAGTGTGTGTGTGTGTGTGGGGCAATAAAAAACACAAATTTGGTTGACAAACGAAAATGGACGAAAACACACGGCTATCCCCAGGTATGCGTGATTTTCCTAAGGCAACGTCTTTCTAAATTATTTTCTGTTCACCGTACATAACCAATTTTAAATAGAATCTGCAGTTGATACAGTATCGTTAAACGGAATACTAATCAACCAGTTGTTATAAAACTGTTATTAAATGACTTTCCTCGTGAGAAGCCAGTGGTAAAGAAACTGCCCGATTTTATGAAACTCGATAATTCACTGCCGTATTCTGTCCACCATTGGTTCCTATCTTAAGCCAGATCAGTTGAGTGCTCAACACAGACCGTCCCAAAGAAGCCGTGCGAGACCGAGGCCCTGTGTAACATTTCGAATAACGCTGTTTTTTGTGGCAAGTTGTTACTTCCTTCCCAAAACGTATGCTGGAGGAGCCCTCCGACTCTGTCGGTTGTTCGCGACTGCTTATTAAGTATAATCAGAGCTACCATGGACATCTTGAGGTTTGTTTCCTACAACCAAGCTTGAGGGCGCACTCCTGTGACGTGGGACGAACTCACTACGGCTGGCCTAGGGGAAGTTAAGCGACAGGAGGATGATATTACCTTGGTATAGAAGAAGACAAGGATTAAAGAATGACTTGCATTGGCATGACCTTCCAGTCAATTTCATGATTCAGCAAAGGCAAGCCTACATCACACATCGCGTTAAAGCTGTTTTATTATCTGAAATGCAAATTGGAGTTCGCACAGACCAACTAAACGCTCTGTTGTAAAATAGCTTTAATAAGGGAGGGCTATGACACGCCTTCTATCGTGACGTCTAACCTCCTCTTCTTCAGCTGGAACTTGATAAATGCATATAACGAAAGGTGAGTGGTCAGGAGGGGGGGGAAGCGACAATTTATCTACGTAGTCAGGGTAATTCCGATGTGTCGGCTGTTTCCCATTCGGTTTCCTCCATATGTTTTCTGGCGGATGCTGTTGGGCGACAATCTCTTGCATACACGCGATTAAGTCATCCGTGGTTATCCGTGATGTCCACAGACGCAGTTCGAGAGTGTGTTCGTTGTCACCCATACACATATAGATATTATTTATCTGATCAAACACATCAAAGTACATTCAGCGTTATTTGCAAAGAGAACATTAAACAGAAAAATGTGATTACTCTAGGGATGTTATGTGCAGCAAACAGAAAATTAAACGAGTTGGACGAAAATATGACTGTACTATAAAAATAACTTCTCATCAATTTATTAAAATAATTATGCCAACAATTATCTGTGCACGTACAAAACAATACTTAGCACAATATTAAGATAATTAAAAGCAGAATCAGTGTTTCCTTTGGGGTACACTTCTTAGTACTTTATAGGATTTAAGGTTATCATGGCGATGAGAAAGACGGTGGCTGTTTTCTGGGTTGTAGCGCCATGAGATCAGGTAGAAGTTTGCTAACGTTTCAGATATCCTTGCTGTCTCCGTCATCAAGGCCCTGA